AGTCTCGTAGCCCTTGTACCAGCAGGTGTAAATGTTCCCCGTAAGCAGCCCCAGCACAAAGAGCTCCCCAGCTCGGCAGGGCCTGGCTGCGCGTGGCCCGGTCACTGGCATGGCCAGGCCAGCGCTGTCTGCACACCCAGCCCCACACACCCCCACGGCAGAGGCTGGGGCACTCCTGGCCCTGCGGTGGAAGTCTCAGCCCTGCTCTCCCTGCTCCCATCGCCCTCCCGGTCGGGCTGTTGGAGGATGCAACCCTTCCCTGCCTTGCTTCACGTGGGATAGAGGCTGCTCCCGTTCCCAACACCGTATGGTAACATCGTCCTGTGTGCGGTGGGTTTCCCCAGGCCCAGGACACCAGTACTCTGTTACCGAACAGCCACGATGGCCAGTATGGCCCCAAGTCAAAGACCACCACGCCTGTTGGCACCAGCATCGTTTCCACCAACTACAATACCAGCAGCAAGTCGGTTCACTGCCAAAGTCCCTCGATGGCCTTAGAGACCTTGGCCATGTGGCTGGCAGAATCATTTGAAGGTTTCAGAGCTACTCACCAGAAATCATACAGTGTTCGAGGGTCGTTCTCCTCTGTTTAGGTGCCAATGCTCCACCCAAAGTTGTATTTGAGGAGATAAAAATGCTGCTTTGACTCTTGCCCTTGGTGCCTGAACACTTTGAGAGATCTGGAATTTCCAGCCTTTATGAAAGCATCTGAGTTTGCCCAAACACCTGAGTTCCAACCAGGGCAGACCTCTCCAGCAACCCCAGTCTGCAGGTGGATGGGTCTGCGAGGGGTATGACGGCCCTTCTCAGGGGCGCACAATGGAAGACCGAGAGGTACCAGGCACAAGATGCAACAAGAAGACCCACTGGATGCAAAGAGAAAATTCCGCCCCATGGAAGAGGCACAGCCCTGGCCCGTGGTGGCATCTCCATTTTCAGAGATCTTCAAAGCTCAGCTGAGGAACACCCAGAGCAGCCCAATGCAGATCTAAAGGTAGCTCAGCTTTTAGTGGACAACTGGACCAGAGTCCTACAAAGGTCCCTCCCAGCCTAGACCTTCCTCTGAGTTTAATACCAGCATGAAAAAAGTCACTGAAATGCAGCATCACATTCACAGCACGGAACAACGATCCCAGGCTGTGCCAGGTCCCCCCAGCCTCGTAAGGCCAGCATCTTCCCAGCATTTTCAGAGCCTCCCCATCAAAGCTCACTCCCTGAAGTAGCCACAGCCAGTGGCTGCAAACCAGGTGTCACAGACTTACCAAAGAGCTACTGAACAATCACACCAAAATATCGGTCCTCAGTGCAGACACCTGGGTAAGAAAGTAGAAATTCGCTTTTGTCAAGGTTATCGTTAGAATTTATTGATATGAGAGAAACATCGTATGTCAACATGTCCACGTAACAGAAGTACAAAGGCCGTCCAGGCGACGTCACAGCGCTCTGTATCTCTAAAGTACAGGAGATCATGCACACGGCTGTGTATGATTTGGGTGCATTTTCTGGGACAGGATGGAAGTGCTCCAGAAACACAATCGACGGGTGGTTGGCTAGCCAGTAGTGCCAGGTAGGGTACGCGACAGGCTACAGCAGGGACCACGCTGGCTTTGAGTCGCATCACCCAGTTCCAGACAGACGGTGCACACATGTGACGGCCACTCACCCTGTGCCCTCTACACAAAGGTGAGGAAATCAAGGGGGTGAGATTCACCCAAACCTGAGCAACCCTCACCAGGAGATGAGACAGCTCAGACCGTCTGGCTCCTTACCACATCCAGGGGCTCAGAGGAGCAGCTCAGACGGAGATGCCTACACACAGCCAGGGGAACCCACACCAGGTCACAATCCCAGCATGGCAGGAGTTGGAAGGGACCTCTGTGGGTCACCCAGCCCGACCCCCTGCCGAAGCAGGGTCACCCAGAGCAGGCTGCACAGCACCGCGTCCAGCCGGGGCTGGAATATCTCCAGAGAGGGAGACTCCACAGAAGAGTCTGGCCCTGTCCTCCTGACCCCCACCCTGCAGATATTTAGAGGCATTTCTAAGGTCCCCTCTCAGCCTTGTCTTCTCCAGGCTGAACAAGCCCAGCTCCCTCAGCCTCTCCTCGTAGGGGAGATGCTCCAGTCCCCTCTTCATCCTCATAGCCCTGCACTGGGCTCTCTCCAGTAGCTCCTCATCTTTCTGGAACTGGGGAGCCCAGAACTGGGCACAGTACTCCAGATGGGCCTCACCAGGGCAGAGCAGAGGGGAAGAGTAGAGGTCTGCAGCAGGACAACCTGGGCATGGTCCTACCGAGCGAGCTGCAACTGGGAAACCTCACAACGGAGTCTGCTCTGCCTGGGGAGCAGATGTGGCCATGCCACACTCTGTCCTGGCATCTGCCAATTCAGAAGCAGGTGTTTTTTCCTTCAATGTAACAATTCTCCTCCTGTTGTAACTGTTCTGACGTTCCCTCGCTCAGCAGTGCCCTCTTAGAGCTCGGAGCACAGACAGCCGTTCATACTATCCTTGTGGCCAGATAAAAATTATCTTTATAATCTTTACTGGAAATACATGCTCTGCTGGATGCTGTTTAAAAAAAAAAGTCAAGTGCTGAGCTTTCATCTTCTCCCAGCTGATGAAATATTTGGTTTGGTCCTAAGTATCTTGCTAAACGTTTAAAGAGGGAACAGCAGAGTATTCCCCAGGCATCTGCTAAATCCACAATGGATTTATTGTGGAAACGAGCCGAATTCTCCAACTCACTCCAAAAGGATTTCAGAGCCCTCTCAGACTCTCCAGAGAATGAGTCATCTGTGACACAACAAACAAAGAAACCCACCAAGTTCAATGAGTAAATTGTCTTGCGTTGTGCAGGGAGCATCCAGAATGAAACACAAAGCCCGACTAAGGGGACGGGGCTGTCCCCTCTCCCGCTGCCAATGTGGTCACGGCAACAAAGGAGCCTGGGCTGAAGCGCGTCTGCCTGGCCGCTCGCTCTGACCCTGCTGCAGACCTGAGGAGGAACCGCCGACGCTGGGAGTACGTACCCGAGCGCGTGTGCCGGGGGACGACCCGTACTCTGCTCCTCCTCCTCTCGCACGAGCCAGGACAAGTGACACAGCGGGTTCTGCTCTCAGCCATTCGGTTTCACCAAGTCTAAGTTCCCTCTGCACATGTAACAGCATTGACTTAGAGATCTCATATTAATGGGTAATTATACAGGATTAATTGCACATCAGTCCATTGTGGCTACAAGTTCATTAGGCTAATAAATCTACATAGTGACAGTAGTACAGTATCAGCTACTTTTCAATACAAACTCCCTACCCTAGCCTTAATTTGTAGGTCAAAAGAAGATCGTCTACCATAGTGAACTTCCTATGACCTTTAACATTCATTTTCAAAAAAATTTTTTTTCTAGAAAAAAAAAATCCAGTGTGGGGAAAACGCACATATATAACAAAAGCAGTGCTTAACAACCACAGGAAAAAATAACATGATCTTGGACTCTTCCATCAGCATCCTCCGTAGACCCTGGTAGCATTAATTCCAAAGGGTTGCTAAATCCAGCTCCGTCAGTTCTCAGGTCCGTTCCACCATTCCCTAGCTGCAGACACTTCTAGTCGCTCACTGTACGCGTCGTCTGCAGCAAGAGCATACAGAAACACTTGCTAATGTGCACAAGACTTCCATCTGATTTAATGGAACAGTTTTAGAAGGCTGAAGTCTTTACTTCTAGAAATCTGTTCTCGAGTGGTAGCGCTCTCACCGACCAGTAGCTTTCTACTCCACCCAGGAGAGAGCTCCAAGTCCCTCAAAGTTTTACTCGTTCGTTTCGCCCAAAGGTGTACGGGTATGTAATAAAACCCCTCTCACAGTATTCCCAGGAAATGATTCAGAAGAGGAGATGATTTTTCAACCAAACGAGATCCTCTTGTCCTGTGTGTCAGACCATGGCCAATAGAGTGAGCAGCTGCCATGGACGTCTCAACTTAAATATGGAACAGTCAAGGGAGGAGAGCAAGGTGGCCTGACCATCTTCCCATGAGGTGCAGGCAAGGAGACAAAGTCACTCTGTTCTCAACAGTTTGTCTCTGTTTCTGGAGTCAAATGTTTGATTCCATTTGTTCTAGCAGGAAGTGGTGAATCATGTCAAAAGTGGGACGATCTTTTATATCCCTGCTCCAACATTTCAGCATCAGGTCAAACACAGGGTTAGGACACAGAGGAGTCTGGGAGAGATAGATCTGAAAGGAAGAAACACACAGCTATTTCAGTGGGCTTTTCATAGAAGAACTGAACCTCTACTAAATTAAAACCAAAGGACAGCTTCGTTCTTGGTTTACAGGACACGACCATCATGCAGTGTTTGAAATCCATTAAGCATGAATCTGGCAGTGAAGTCTGGATGGAGCTTTGACGCCATCTCAAATAGCACTGCGGACACCTTGCCAACTTGTTTGATGAGCTGGTCAAAAAACAGTCCTTTGTCCCCCAGGAAACATGAGTGCTTCACAGAGATTCGGCTTCCAAGCGACAGCAAAACAAACCAAAACCAAATTTACCACAATAAAATCCAAATACTTTCACTTACCGTAGACAGCCCATGAGGCTTTCTAAGCATCGTGACAGCTTGGTAGCAGAAACAGAAAAGACACCTTTTAGAGCTTATCTAAAGCACAGCCTGGCAGATTCCCCCCCACACTTCAATACACATCTTTTAGGCTCTCCACTAGATCATTAGTATTCAGGAGACAGTGAATAAAACCTCACATTATTTTACTCCTCTTCACTTGTTGGGTG